CTAATAGGAAACTGGGACCCTATACATAGCCACTATTAACCTAAGAAAAAGATTCACCTTTACTGGCAGTAGATCCAAAAAGACTTTTACTTTGTCTAGCACTCATCCGACTGAGAGCCATCAAGTGGAAAAAGCTGTGATAGATCACGCAGAATTACGGGAACTATTCTTGCAGCAAGGTGAAATACAAACTATCTTAAAATTGTACATGGCAAACAGCAATCATCCTGATCTTCCCCTCACAACTAATATTGGTGCACCTATTTGTAACAGCATAGCTGTGTGTTTTGCTCAGCTGTTAACAATAGCTTTGTAAGCAAGTGTTACGAGCCCTTATGGCTTTTTGATATGCCTATGTAGCTGCTTTTCTTTCCATTTCCCCTACTATGCGCCAGGTTACAGAAACACTTCCAAGCAGCAGATTCAGAAATAGAAAGAGTTCAAGGCCAGGTTTCACACCTGCAACCTTGCTGCTCTGGGCTGTTCCAGCCCTGAAGACCAGTCTCCTTGTTATAAATACAAGGCTTTCTCTAACATCCAGGTTTTATGTTTAGTAGTTCCAAATGAAGTTTATGGGTTTTTACTTACTTGTTTGGGGCAGGAAGGGATGGGAGGAGGAGGGATAGGGAATACTTCATGGAAGCTATGTAACCATTACATCTGTCATATTTACTTTGATGAAGTAATTCAACTGAATGCCACAGCAGTTCATGCTAATTAATTTATCATCCAATTTAAGACACTGTCTCACTCCAATTCCCACAAAAAAATAAGAAGGAGCTACTCCTATTCAACACTAACATACCATTCATACTTTGGCTTCCCTAAATACTTCGGAGGGTAATAGAAGTTAGCACAAGGTTTAAAGGGTTAAATAGCAGTTCTAATTTTTATGTCTTTTATAATTCTAAACAAGAATCTTTTTCTAAAGCACTATAAATAGAAAAATTTACAGCAGCAGCTATTGCAAACACCCCATATGCCTCCTGAGTTCCAGAGTCAGGGGACAGGAGAAAAATGCCTTAAAAACAAAACAAAAAGCCCCCTGTATGACACTAGTGTGCTATGTCCATGTATGTGCCAATGCAAAAATTTTGACACCTAGAGGTTATTTAAATAGAAGAAAGTATCAGCAAGCACTGTGGCTTAAGGAGTATATTTTGGTTTGTTTAGAAAACAAGCTGTTCTGTAGTTGGTCAAATCACACAAGGCCCATTTCTTGACTCCAGGTGTGATTTACGCAACTCATGCTGACTCTTCTGTTCTTCTTGGATGGACTGCATTACACTGCTACCTTACACAGGACTTTTCCTGCCATGTCGCTCTAGCAGCCCTGCAATAATAGTTCAGTAATCTCCAAGTCTCTGGTACAGAAAAAGATTGAACAAAAAAAAAAAAAATTGTTTTGCTACAAGAATATAAAAATTAAAATAAAATTGGGAGGGAACAAAACTCTAACTCTGCATTGCCTTCTAGGAGAAATATAAATGGAGCTCTCTTCTGATATATACTGACTGTCCAAATGGAAAATAAAGACCCAATGACATTTTTAAAAGAACAGGATAAACAACCCTCTGTTCTAGTGAACAGTCTTTCTCTCTCTATATAGAGACAGAGAGAGAATGCAAAGTCATTTTTACATAGCTGAGACTGTAAGCCCCAGGAGTTTCTGCATTACTAATAACAGACTCTAAAATACATTCAGATAGTAGAAGGAAACAAAACAAAACAACAACAACAAAACAAAACAAAACAAAAAACCACACCAAACTATTTCCAGAAAAAGAAAAAAACCCCACACCATAAATCCCACATCTTCATTTTAGAAGTCAAGAAAACTCTGGAAATGATCCTAATGTAAATCTCAGACGAATCCACATTTTGCTGAAACAAGAACTTCGGGTTTAGGCCACATACGAAAGTAGCTCAAAGTTCCCCATTAAGTTTAGGTCTACTTGAGAAACTGAGATGTTGAAAAACTTCAGAGTGAAAATTTAGTAACTGGCTTACCACAGAGGAAATAAGTTGAAAGAAAAACAGTATCATCTGTGACTTAAGTTTGTCTTTCAGGAAATGAAGATCCTTATGGTAGTAAATATAATACTTGAATTGTTTGCAAATAGGTTTAATCATCTAATTGCCATGTACAAGGAAAATCTCTGTGCTATCAGAACTCAGTAGAGTTAATTACTAGAAGGCAAAATAAAGATTTTTATCAAACATAGTGTGTGTTCTTCAGCTATTATATTTATCGATATTTATGTCACTCAGAACCCTTTCTGGGTGGTTGCTGCATACATTTGGTGTGCAGTCAAGAAGCTTCCCAACTGCAAACGTGCTTTTAAAAAGAAAAGCTGGCCCGAACCCTGCATTTCCAATTCAAGCAGTGGATTCTGAAGCCTGTTAACTCCCTGGAGCAGCTGATAGTTAAAGACTTGTTTCCGCTTTTCTAACAATTTCCTGGTTTGCATAACAATCCTAAAAGAAACACACTCAAGAAGTTTTCCAGTACAGAGAAATTTTTGTCTCCCAACATACTTCCAGTTTCAAGACATAGACAATATTTATATATAGTTATAATAACTTTAGAGATATATTTGTCTACAAATATATTTACATATAAATATGTATCAGCTACTTGGTTTAAAACAAGATTATGATAATTTTGCCACATCCAGGAAATACAAAACACTGGTGCTTAACTCATGCCATTGTGAATAAAGAGGGGGGGGGAGGGAAGGGGTTTAATGTTTAATTTCCTGTTAAAAACACACACAGGATAAAATCTTCCAAAGAGCAGTTATAAAACATGCATTTGTTAGCCAAGAAACTAGGTAAATATGGAATGAAGCCCAGGCTCACTTTTATTCCTTCCCCCCTCTCCAAAGAACAAAGTAACTGAAGGCCACGGCGTGTATTTGGAGGCTCTGAGCCCTTCTCAGTGACTAGATAATTCATCAGCCTGGCTGATTTATGCACCCTGTATCCACTGGGGTGGTTCCTCAGCTAATGCAATGACGCAGCTGAGCTCAAGGTACTGTATTGCCATGTATACTGCACGCATGCCAAGCAACCTTTGTACCAACTGCTGACTACCTCACCGACAACTCTCTACCTAAAAACAAATAAAATAAGCCTTAGCATGCAGTCGGGACCTACTGACAGTGTCTAGCAATAGCAGACTGAGAATTCAAGTTGACCCAGCGCTGAGGGATCTGGTGGGGTTGGGAACAGTCTGGGGGAGGTTCGTGGTTGGGCCGGAGGAGCTTCAAGGGCTTTTCCAACCCAGATGATTCTGTGAGAATACTGCTACCTTCAGTAGGAGCTAAAGACACTACAGAGGATATTTTTTTAAGAAGTTACAAGGAGAAATATTCTTTTCAGATGCCATTGAAACTCAGTGCCATCCATCCTGGAAGGGTGAGTTCAGCTGCAGCAATTCAGGCTTCATCACAGTTGTGCCACACATGATGATGTATTAGGTTATTCTGCAATTCACCACACTAGAAGTCCCAGACAAGCACCAAATTTGTGTATGATAGATATATAACAATTACAGCCTTTAACAACCCCGGTTCTTCTCTTTGTTGGGATGCTCAAATTAGACAAAAATATGGACTGGATTTTAGGAGCATTTATAACCATTTTCAACAGTAACACAACAGTAATTTTGGATCTTACAATAAAAATAATCCACCAAATACTTTCTGTATACTGTGTTAGGGTCAAAGTCAGGTCCTCAGTGAGTGCACATCTTGCAGCACAGAAGAGGTTGTGGTACTTTTGTGACCTGCTGGGATTCACATTCAAAATTAGAAGGCAAACCACTCTGTGAGTGGCTTCAATTTTGTTTTGTTTTTCAAACGAGGATAAACATTACCGCAGATACAGCTCAAGAGCTTTCTTAACTTTTGGTAGCATATTATTCAAATTAACACAGCTTAAGCTTTTTAAGTTGATGCACCTTAAACACGTTCTAGTCAAGTCATTTAGTTCTATATTTGATGCAAGAAAAGACAGGCACAGAGATTACGTATCTCTCTGGTGAATTAGATCTGATGGCAGGCATGCTGAATTTCTTGCAGATTCTTTGTAAAACTGGCTCTGAGACAGTAAACAGTCCTGGGTTTATTTCTAAAACCTGCACTTAAGAGCTGTTGTAAATATTTGTGCTCTTTCCGTAAGAAATCAACCCCTGATTCAATGACAGTTCATCAGTGAATCTCATACTACTGCATGAGTTCAAAATCTTCCTCTTTATTTTCACTTGGTGATAACTGGACTTTGTGCCCCGATCCCTGATTCTTCATGTGAAAAGACTAACAACATTAGGAAGAAGAAAGGGAATAGGGTGGAGAAAATCTGTAACATAAAATGAGCCCTGACTTGCCTTCTCGGTACTGTAGGTACCCCAAACCACAACATTTCAGGAAAATGGTTACGTTTCTGGCCAACAGTCAGTATATATAAGATGTTATACACATTTTGCCTCATGTATGTTGCTACTGCAGACTCCATGAAAAGCAAGATTTTTGTTTTCTTTGCTTCCCAACAGTAAGGCAAGTTTACAAGTATTTACTACTAGTTACATCAAGGTATTAAAGATTTAAGTAAAGTAGCAGTATTCTCCAGTGTGGTGGTGACCTGAGCCTTTAATCCATATGAATTTAACTGTAGCGTGCATTAGCTCTTCTCATAAAAGATTTGCTATAATTTTAGTTCTTTCTCTATTTATCTTATGGCTGTGTAATCTTCAGTAGAGGTCAAAGATTTCCCCAAAGAAACAGGAGCTGCTTCTCTTTTAGAGGGGAAAAGCATATTTAAGACAGTTCATCCTACTTTTAAACATGGCACAGGACAGTACCCTCTGTGGTCTCCTTGGTTTTTCTCATGTTCCAAAGCAATTAAACAAGTGCACAGATGAAATATGAAAACACCTACTGAAGATAGGATACACGGCCCATCTGCTGCAAAGACTGAAATTATTACTAACATCTTACCATCATCCAGCTCAAGACAGAGATTGTAAACAGCCAGAGGCCTCTTAATACGTTGTCCTTGTCTTCTTGATTGCCTTGGTGGGGCATTTGGAGGAGATACTGACATAGAGATTGGCTCAGGCAAAGTGGCATCAGGCAGGGTTTTGAAAATCTGCAATCAAGAACACAAAGGGTGTTAATTGTTTATCACTAAGAGCAACCTGTGTAATGCAACTGAAAACCATTATCAAACAACATTTGTTTTGGATTTCATTCAAAGCAGGCAGGAGCCAAAAATCCATTCCTTCAAGTTTGGGAGTATGCCGTGGGTTTTTAATGAGTGCTTTTAAAACAAATAAATAAATAAATAAAATATGAAAATAAGCAAGAGCACTGTCTACACATTAACCAAGCTGCAAATCAGTTAATCCAAAGACAAAATATTTGCAGCCATGCTTGCCAGCTGGGATGGAGGGGAAGGGGAAAAAAGGGGATACTAACTTTATAAATTGCTAACCAAAAAGCCATATAGCATTAGCTAGGAACTATAATTTTGCCAGAATACCAATTTTAATTTTCAAAACTTCTGATATCATTATAACATTGGCCATTTTAATTAAAAACAAAACAAAACACCAAAACCCAAAACATACTCTTGAAGAGAGCAAGGGGAAAATTTTGAGGGGAGGGTCTTTTAGTGAGAAAACCTGTAGTAACATACCATGGGAGAACTTTTTCAGTTAACTATTGCATATTGAGTCACAAACACATATTATGATATTCACAAAAACACCTATGAAGATTATTTCATTTCTTGTTATCATTTTATTTTTTGAATCATGACCATTAGCATATACCACTCCATACAAAATACTGTGTCATTTCTCTCTGGATTAACCAGCCATGCAAATTTGCTCAACCTGATTAACATTTTTACTTTAACTGCCACATACAGGGTACAGTCTAATGGTGCTGATTTACTTCTCAAAAATTAGTGGTATGCTGATGTACAGTTTAACAGCAGCCTTTCACAAGGCAACATGGCAGATTCACACGAACGTTAGCTTAATATGTATTTCGTCAAAGACAGCAGATAAAACCACAAAGAGCAGCTTTGTACAAGAAAAGCCCTGTGTCTGCATGGCACCTTACAGCGACACAACACAATAATATCAAGATATAATGAAACAGTTATGGTGTTTTACCCTGCAACTTTACATTGCCACATATCTGTATAGGAAATATTATAAAGATGAGACTTCTAATGAATCCTTTGAAGGAGAAGCTTTTTATGATGTAGAAATTAATGCAGAAAGTATGAAGAAACACCACACATTTTTGGATTATTACAGCACATATCAGGTCCAGCAGGAAACTAAAAGCGAGTCAGGCTACTCTACAGGTGAGAAAAATTCCGTAAGAATCCTGTTGTGAGGCAACCCAAGATATCATGTTAGAAGCAGAAGAAACTCCACATGCCATCATATCATGGCCTGTTAACCTTGAATATTAACACATGTAGGAATAAGATGACCCAAGAACCCACGTATACACTGCCCCATGGCCGTTTAATTGTCCCTCTTGTACTAGCAGCTAGAAGACTGTGCTGTTACAAAATAATCAGAAACACCATTTTCCATGAAAAGTGTGACAGAATGACCATATTGCCAAAACCGGGCAGCAGTCAGCTGGAAGCCTGTATATGGTGTGCAAAGAAAAGCTCCAGTGACAATATTACCTTCCTTCCCAATAAGTGAATGTTGCTGAGGGGGAGATAAAACGATGTAATTTGAACTTCCCCATACCAGTGTTAAGAAAACTGGCTCCCACTCCTTCACATGCCTATGAACAAGGGATTACGAGAGAGAGTGCCAAAACAGCACACGGAACTCTAAAGACAAAATGTTTATAAAGAAGAAAGGGAAACAGTCCAACCTGGTTCTCCCCAGTACAGACACAGCAACACTCTCAGACAGTGACAAAGTTCTAATTGTGCTCAGAGTGCTAAAAGCCATTTCTTAAAACATGATGCAATATATAATCATGAAATCTAATGTGCACCTACACGGCCCTCGGCTCACAGTACCACACTGCCCCCTTATGTGTAAATACAAGGCTAGATTGAGCAGGTTTAGGGATAAACATTTGCTTCTGAAAAATTCAAAAGTACCAAAACTTTAAATGCCATCTTTTCCATGGACTAAGTGTTGCGTTTGGGTTCTCTGGTAAATAACTCTCTGCCAAGAGGTTTCAGCATGTTGTTTACTATGTCACATTCCACAGCTGTGTTTACTTGTACAGCCTTATCCATGCATCTCCGCTGAAATTAATGATGTCAAGAAGAACAAGTATTTCCCAGGAGTACTTCATAAGATATGAGCTTTCTTGTATGCATTTGGGCAACCTGCACAAGTTGCAGTGAAGTTCTTAAGTGTTTTCTCCTCACCTCTTACAACTACTTCAATATATTCTTCTAAAACTATTAGCGTGAGAAACTAAGAGTCACAAAAGCAAAACACAATCAAGAAAACCATAAAGATGATCCTTACTCAATGATACTTGGGGCCAGACAGGCAACGGGATAATGAATTGGAGACAGGTATGAATTCAAAGGAGATTTCTAATGGCAAGTAGCTATGTGATGTGAAAAAAAACAGCGGTTTGTTTTATCGTGGGGAAAACCCCTATACAATAAACAGGAAAAATAACAAGAAAGCACTGAAGTCAAACTTCAAAGAGTGGCAGTCCCACCCATGCTAGCTAACTTCATAGTGACAGTGGTGGCAGGTAGACACGAGCTGCCCAGGATAACGATCTCTCCCCAATAAAAGGTTAGGGTTACTGACTCCTCTCTTTCACTGTCAGGATAAACATATCACCTCTAATTTTTCAGGTTTTTAGTTGCAGAGCTGTGCATAAATGCTTCTCAACAGCACTTCTCAGTGCAACCCAGTGCTACCCAGCGACAGCACTGGGCTGAGGGCAGTCTGAGATCCTTCTGCAAAGACTCTCAGGCAGTCGTCAGGTCCGTTCCCTATTTTACCTTCCTCTGCTCTCGACTTCTGATTAGAACAGATGGGTAGGGAAATCTCATTTCTGGGATGAGGTCAGTAAGTAGTATATTGCTTTCTAGGGAGCAGAGATCACCTCCCAAGAGCTCCTGGGTATCACGAGGCCATGTGTTCTCCACACTGACTGGGACCAGGGCAAGGGTCCACACAAACTCCATCCTCTCACTCCTACTTTTCTCCGATGCAATGTTACAAAGCTGTAGCACTTTTTTCCCTGTGCTCCCATTCAACATCTGTCTTCACTGAGAACAAAGGGATTCCTGAAAGAAGTATTTAGATATGAACTAGATGATGCAACCTCTTGACGATCTGAAGAGCAAATTTACCCATGCAGAGGAAATTGAGACTAAGTGTCATACTCCGCAATGAAATCACCAAGTATCACGAGTTGCCCTGCGGGATTCTAAGAAACACAAAACCAACCAACCAAGCCAAAACAAAACCACACACACAACTACCACTGGAAAGATCACTAGGGTGGTTTGGTTTTTTTGTTGTTTTTTTTCTTTTTTTTTTTTTTTACAAAAGAAACAGGAAACATCCTGCCTTTGTGTGTTGCACAAAAAAGTGTATTTAGGGCCATCTTTGCTTTTTCATACATCTCATGTTTGTGTTCATCCCTACTTTGGCATTTTCTTTTTGTCTTTTCAGCATGAAAAAAAAATCCAGTATAGCCCATCCATAACTAGACACGTTTCTTCAGCAGCAGAAATCTTTCTGTTGCAGGTCAAAGCTACAGCTCATACCAGAGTTTTGCAAAGGTGAACACCTGAAAAGGAAGCAGAAAGTCAACCTCGGCCCTAAGAAGTGCACATACAGCATTCAGCTTCTCTTTCTTCCTTTATTTTCACATAAACAGACAAGTACTTTTCATCATGCTTTAATGGATATTTGTCTGCTGCACAGACGGAAGCATTGCAACATCTGTCTGAGAACGGGGGAATGGAGGCATGTTCTATTTCAGTTGTGGGGAGAAAAGTTTTCTGGTTTTATTCTAATTTGCTTTTAGCCTTATTCATTATTTAAATGCCACTGAAGTATAAATGCTTCACAGCTGATGCAAGATGCCTTCTGTGGGAGATGGGAGACCTGTTGTCAGAAGCACACCACATATGCACAGAAGACAGAATTCAAAATCATGCACACACCATGTGAGCACCTGAAATGGTGCTAATATTGTTGTGCTTTGGCTTGCACAACAGCATGGAACCACACCTAAGTTTTGGAATATCTTCTTGCACTGCAAACTGTTGCTATCAGATGCGTGGCGAGACAACCACACACATCCAATCGGAAGGAAACCCTCCTGTGGAAGAACGGGATTGGAACATGCTATTTAATAGAAGATCTCTCTGCTACTCCAAAAGCAGCCTCCCCTCAAGTAAAAGTCAGATCTACCACCATCACTCATCTAGTTTGCAGAAGTTACCACAGCTTAGACCGATGCCTATATAAAGACAAGAATGAAGTCCACTCGTTGAATTACCTCATTCAAGCAGCAGTAAAAATGTCTTAAATGAACCTGAGTTTAAGGACTTCACAGTCACATCCAGCATTACACAGCTTTTGAGACTGTGGCCAAACTGCATTAAATTTATAGAATATCTGTTCTCTACAATGTAGTTCTCAAAAGCACTGGCATCCTGCTACTGACCTAACTGGGGGCAAACTCAGAAGCTAAGTGAAACAATTTACATACGGGAGAAGACTAACACAAGTAGGACTCAAAATTTTATCAAGCAGCAAATCCAACTGTTAGTCAGTCCTACCCCAGTTAGTCCAGTATTTTAAATGGTTGTTTAGGTCTGATCTTAGGTGAAAGCAGAATTTAAAAGTGCACACTGACTTAAGTGGTGGATCAGACCTGAAGCCTGCGGTGTAAAAATTACAAGGAAAAAAGATGAGACTTGTCAAGCAATTTAAAATGCTGGTATGTTTGACCTATTTTGCTCTATGCAATAGTACAAAATGGATACTTTACAAGGCTAAACAAACCACAACCCATCTTGGATATGCACCGCTAATAACAGCTCTGTCTAGTGCAGTGAGTGCAAGGCCATCCCTACATTCAACCATTCCAATTTCTAAACCTGTGTCCCAC